TATACCTGGGGATTGGTAGGAGGGACAGGTAGATATCAAAGTAATGAGGTACTAGGACAGTGTATACCTGGGGATTGGTAGGAGGGACAGGTAGACATCACAGTAATGAGGTACTAGGACAGTGTATACCTGGGGATTGGTAGGAGGGACAGGTAGATATCAAAGTAATGAGGTACTAGGACAGTGTATACCTGGGGATTGGTAGGAGGGACAGGTAGACATCACAGTAATGAGGTACTAGGACAGTGTATACCTGGGGATTGGTAGGAGGGACAGGTAGACATCATAGTAATGAGGTACTAGGACAGTGTATACCTGGGGATTGGTAGGAGGGACAGGTAGACATCACAGTAATGAGGTACTAGGACAGTGTATACCTGGGGATTGGTAGGAGGGACAGGTAGACATCACAGTAATGAGGTACTAGGACAGTGTATACCTGGGGATTGGTAGGAGGGACAGGTAGACATCACAGTAATGAGGTACTAGGACAGTGTATACCTGGGGATTGGTAGGAGGGACAGGTAGACATCAAAGTAATGAGGTACTAGGACAGCTTGTACCTGGGGATGGGTAGGAGGGACATGTAGACATCACAGATAACAAGGCACTATATATACTCTGCACCTGTTGACTCGTAGATGGGACATGCTGATATCACAGATAACAAGGTATTATAAGGCAGTGTGTACCTGGGACAGGTAGGGAAGACAAAATGACATCACAGATAATGTTGTAATAGGACAGTTTGTACCTGGGACAGGAAGGAGAGACAAACTGACATCACAGATAATGTGGTAATAGGACAGTTTGTACCTGGGACAGGTAGGAGAGACAAAATGACATCACAGATAATGTTGTAATAGGGCAGTTTGTACCTGGGACAGGTAGGAGAGACAAAATGACATCGCAGATAATGTTGTAATAGGGAAGTTTGTACCTGGGACAGGAAGGAGAGACAAAATGACATCACAGATAATGTGGTAATAGGACAGTTTGTACCTGGGACAGGTAGGAGAGACAAAATGACATCACAGATATTGAGGCACTAGGGCAGTTTTTACCTGGGATAGGCAGGAGACAAAATGACATCACAGATATTGAGGCACTAGGGCAGTTTGTAGGTAGGGACAAGTGTGAAGGACAAGTTAATATCAGAGATAATGAGGTACTATACAGACAGAAAGTAAAGATGATACAACAATTTAGATGAGGCCCTAATAGACAGTTTGTACAGATAATTAGGAGGTGGGAGTGATAAGATGAGTCAGCTGGAAATAATGAACTGTTGAGTATGATGTAGACTAGGTATATGTCCCACAAAAACAGTGTTCTGTGAATTCTGTGACATGGTACTGACTCGTTCAGCAATGAAGTCTAAGCTGATAAAACCATTACAATAACAGTACAATTATTACGTATCTAGAAATATTTATCAACAATTACAAATTTTAGTCGTAGTCTTTTTCAATATTCAACAAGAGGTCTGCAGGCCTAAAGGGTCATCTGACTATAAAGAACTATATATGATAGAGACCAAATAGGCTTAAGATAAATTGGTCAACTACTCTACAGATTACAAAGAAGACACTGTTGGTTCATAAAGACATTTTCTGCAAACCAGAATTCATATTCTTTATACATGTAAATATCATTACTCCTGACATATTGCAGGCTGAAAAACAATGCTACAGGCCCAATATCAAGAATCCTTGACCTTTTGGTTATTGAGATGAAGTTGCTCATGCATTTCAACACATTTGACCCCTGTGATCTTGACAGTAGGTCAAGGTGTACAAACTTGGTAGCCCTTCATCCAAACATGTTACAGCCCCAATATCACCACCATGGACCTTTCGGCAATTGAGATGAAGTCATTTAAATATTCAACACATTTTACCTCTGTGACATTGAAGGCAGGTCAAGGTCATTCACGTTAACAAACTTAGTAGCCCAATGTCCTACCATGTTTCAGGCCCAATATCAGCACCCTGGACACATTGGTATTGGTCATCCTGACCACTTGAGTCAGATAACCTTATAATAATTATAGATAGACTGTTTCTGAAAGTTACATATGAAAGTTTTAAACAAAAGGTGAAGGATGTGATGTCATCACTACAATGCTAAAATCAATTGTAGCTCATGGGTCAAAGGTCAAATATTTTGCATTAAAATAACTCTGATATTTCCTTGGTTTTTGCAAATTATCATTAAAATTATAATACCACAGCACAGTATAGCCCCTGTTGTAAGTAAAGGATATCTTCTAAGGTTAAAATTAACAACCCATTGGTCAATTATTAACCCATTAGTAGTTTTTATTGTTACATTGCCTGCCCACTAGCTTTAAAATATCAGGTCATTGCAAGAGGACCAGCAGTAGCTATAAATTCAATAAGCAAACTGTCTGATCACTATCTTTAAAGGTTTGAAATGCATGCCTTTTCTATTGAATACAAACATGTTTGTGTTTATTTTGATATTAACTAAAGCCAGTGTGGTTGTGACATGTATTAACTGTTGAACATCATTAGTATTACAATACTGGTACAGTTCTAGGTGATAATACTCTAATTTTACAAATGTATAATATCAGTGTATCCTAATATATTTGATCAAACCTTCGTATTACTAGACATCGAAATGACATTGATTTGCTTACTTTTGTGAAAGAACTAGGAAAGTACTCTTTCCTGTTGAGTGCCTTGACCAGGAATTGAACCTGGATCTACAGTGTGATAATAAACCAGCACCCAACTGAGCTAAAGAAACATGCTCTGTCAACTGAATGACAGAGACCGTATTTAACATCATGTACAAGTCACATAGACCTACTCTTTTTAAAAACCCATGTATTTCATAATCATTTTATTTTCAATGGATTTATGCTGTAACAGTACCTTATACATGAAGAACAACAATGTTTTAACCGAGACAGATCTACAGATCTTTGTTCAGAAACTGAAGAATATGGTGTCCTTTCACAGAAAGACCCATACAAACTTCTATCTGGGCCAAAAACTGTGATTGATAGATGATGGAAAAACCTGTTTTGCAATTGTAAAATAAATGAATAATAATAATATCAATATCTTTCGTGGAAGAACAAAACAGTAAGGGATTCATTCTGAATGTGATGTACATCAGTCAGATTTTTACAAGGCTGCTATTAGAAAAGAATGTAAACATGTTTACCTGTGACAACCTTGGGAATAGGGCACTTTCCTCAGACAGAAATCCCATAAGGTTGGGAGACTTGGCTGGAAACATGTTTATATGTGACAACCCAGGAAATGGGGCATTTTCCTCTGATAGGAAACCCTAAGTGTGGGAGGACTCAGCTCTAAACGAGTTTACCTGTGATAACCCTTGGAATGGGGCACTTTCCTCAGACAGGAAACACGAGGGATTGGGGGACTCAGCTCTAAACATGTTTACCTGTGACAACCCTGGGAATTGGGCACTTTCAGCTTGGACAGGAAACCCGATGGGTGGGAGGACTTAGCTCTAAACATGTTTACGAGTAACAACCCTGAGAATGGGGCACTTTCAGCTCGGACAGGAAACTCATGGTGTGGGAGGACTCAGCTCGAAACATGTTTACGAGTAACAACCCTGAGAATGGGGCACTTTCAGCTCGGACAGGAAACTCATGGTGTGGGAGGACTCAGCTCGAAACATGTTTACCAGTAACAACCCTGAGAATGGGGCACTTTCAGCTCGGACAGGAAACTCATGGTGTGGGAGGACTCAGCTATATATGTTTATCAGTAACAACCCTGGGAATAGGGCACTTTCCTCTGACAGGAAACCTAAGGGGTAGGAGGACTCAGCTTTAAACGTGTTTATCTGTGACAACCCTGGGATTTGGGCACTTTCAGCTTGGACAGGAAACCCGATGGGTGGGAGGTCTCAGCTCTAAATATGTTAACCAGTAACAACCCTGGGAATGGGGCACTTTCCTCAGACAGGAAACCCGAGGGGTGGGGGAATTCAGCTCTAAACATCTATTCAAGGGTGGATGCTGGACACTTTGGGTATTTAAAGTTTTAACCTTTATATAAAGGACCAGAAATCTCAATATTTCTATCAAAAACAGTGCAAGTATTACCTGTAACAACCCTGGGAATAGGGCACTTTCAGCTTGGACAGGAAACCTGAGGGGTGGGAGGTCTCAGCTCTAAACATGTTAACCAGTAACAACCCTGGGAATGGGGCACTTTCCTCAGACAGGAAACCCAAGGGTGGGAGGACTCAGTTCTAAACATGTTTACCTGTGACAACCCTGGGAATGGGGCACTTTCAGCTCGAACAGGAAACCCTAGGGGTGGGAGGACTCAGCTCTAAACATATTTACCAGTTACAACCCTGGGAATTGGGCATTGCCTCAGACATGAAACCCTCGGTGTGGGAGGACTCAGCTCTAAATGTGTTCACTTCTGACAACCCTGGGAAAGGGGCACTTTCAGCTCAGCATTCTATTCAAGGGTGGATGCTGGACACTTTGGGTATTTAAAGTTTTAACCTTTATATAAAGGACCAGAAATCTCAATATTTCTATCAAAAACAGTGCAAGTAAATATATGTCTGTATACTGATGTGATTGTATCATTCATCTATAAAATTAAGTAGATGTGTTATCAAGCATGGGTAAGTATTTGTATATGTCATGGTTTATAAAATGTAGGACATGTACTGTCTCAGCTTATGTTCAAAATTCTCTAGTGAAGTTGACTTTTTAATTCAAAATATCTGATGCAGAAAATATCAATAACAATAATTTAATGTCATTAATACAGTAAGAATTTAATATCTATCACCTTTGGTAACGTTATATACAGGAACTCTTGGAAATATGCCCTTATTACATGAAAAAATGTGAGTCTGTTACAATCTGTCTACACTGTAAAGATTGTTCATATCTCTCTTCACCACCGGTTACATGGATGTTTTTGGTTTTTACACATAGAACCATGCTTCTAATTTTCCTTACTCACCTTGAGAAGATTAAGTGCCAATTTCTTCATCATTTTTACAGATTTGATAACAAACACACATCAGCTGGTCTCAAATGATGATGTCTGGTCGAGGAACAAGAGCGTAGGGCAGAAAGCCGAAAATGGAACTTGTCAAAAAAAGTATCTCCAGTGGCAGTAGTGAAGATGTTTCCCCCCCTCCTGTACTTGTGAGGAGGCACGGGGTACTAACTCACCACCTTATCACAGGGTGGTCACATAGCCAGCAAACACTCAGGGGATCTGCTGTAGCCATCGGTAACAATATATCATATACACAGGGGGACTACAGTCCGAAAAACAGTGAAACAGTGATACAACCGGATTGCTCACAGAAACCATCCAAAGAAAAACTTTTAGTACTGACAGTCTCATAGATGTATACACAGGTCAAAGAACCTCACTGCCTTCTACAAAATGTTTGGACACTGATAAATCTGACAATATTCACAGTTCTCTATCTGCCATAGTTCTGCTACTGATTAATGACTTTGTGGATATAAATATTGAAACAAGTCTACACAAAACCTCTAGTTACGTGGACAGAAAATCACAATAATTAGTAGGTACAATTTTCTCCAAGAAAATCAGACCTTCATCATTTACCTCCTAGCGTCTTACAAAATGTCAACATCAGTTAACTCCCATCTTTCTGAGGCACTTACCACAAACGGTAATGATATTGATGCTCAACATGGTAATTTAAATCATACTGATGCTGTGTTCTTATTAATACAGGTAAACATGTTCTGGATGTTTATACAAGAGACTGATAATTTACCATCAATGTTGTAATGAAGGAAAAATCTGCAGCATCACTTTAAAACTTCACTAGTTATGGCTTGATAATGGTTGTCCGTACACGTAAATGCCAGATTTGTCTCCCCCTGGAGCCAAAACAACCATGGTATAGCCCTACAGTGCTTACATTATGTTCCTGCTGTTATTTTGGATCAATCCTGTGTAATTAAACACATTAGAATCACATCAGATTGGTATATAGGTGTATTAACACTACTAATTGCCTCAGGATGTGTCGGGTTTTTTTCCTCAGAATTCTAAACACACTCTGTCAGGGGTATATAATATTCAACAACGTCAATCTTTGAGTATATGTACCCAATAGTTGGGAAAACACAGATTACTTCTGATTCATACATATTGCTATGTTTACAGAAATCATGGATTTTTTTACCCCTCAAGCTTCAATCCTATACACACACTGGTATTTATTGTGGAGAGCTTGTCTTATTCTCCTCAAAGCCATCTAAGGTTTCTCTTATCTATCATTTCCGGAATATTTTTTTAGTCTAATTTTTCTATCCTCACTAGCCAATTATAAACCCCACTGCATGCCATGAACTGTTTTTTTTTACCACTTCTTCAAAGCTTTGCCCTAAATTTTGTCTCTGCAGAATTTACCATGTGACTATTTGCTATACACTAGGAATATTCTATTACTGAACTGTAAAATATAGGATGCATGGTCAGGCTTATAATTATTGTAACCTCTTGTGTAAATTAGAGATGAAAGAGCTTGGGGATTGTTACCTAAATACCGAAACCTTGTTCAGTATCAGTCGCAGGGACTGGAATGGTATATACCATAAGTCTGTGCAAACTTGGCTTTCACTTTGTCCCATGGGAGGAGTTGAAGCATACCTCCCCTATTTATGGATTGTTCCATCATGGGTTGCTGCTGCTGGGTCTGATAAGCAGGTGAGATTATGTCAGTAGATGGGGGACACCTGAGGAGATGTGTCCAGGTACATGTGAAGAAGATTACAGGGGCCTTAAAGGGGTAATCAAAACATTCCTATAATCTTATTAGCCCCTGTTGTGATAGAGGAAGCTGCACTGGGAAGGGGCCCAAAAAGGGCTCTATTTATAGACATTCCCAAAGGAAAATGTAAAGACATCTGTTAAGGAATAAAAAAAATTTACTTTTAAAAGACTGGAGAAATTTAAGCATCAGGTACACATTTGAAAAATAATACATGGCAATTACATACAAAATAATTGATGAGGAATTCCCCTGTTTGGTCCTCAAAGTGATGATAGAAAACAAACACATAATCATATCAGTTTACCAACAAAATAGAGACTGTATGACCATGACTGCATGTAAACAGGAAAACACCACAGCAGTCCAGGGAGCTATACATGGCAGATCAACTAGTGAGGGTTCAGCCCTTAGTCTGTCCAGAAGGTTAGCATAGACATTGAATCTCCACAGTACCCATTGCATGATTTCTAAGAGGTGACTAAATTTGAAATCTGATCTTCTCTGTTTTTCTGGGATAATTTTTCTTCTTAATGGCTATCAAGTCTCATTTTTGGCCTTTATTGAATTGCCTCCGAAGCTTTGGGTTATGTCCCCTTGCTGAGAATACTATTTTCTTTTTAACGCTCAACCTTGTGTTGGTACAACAACTAGCTGGATCACCTGGAAAATGTTGTTCAAAGAGCGCAAATATCTCATCAGGACAGTGCTTTACATTTCATTTATCTATTTTGTTTTACAAGTTTTCAAATGCCCCATGCAAGTATTGCTCACTAAAACTGTTTTATAAAACTTGAGTCCTTAGGAGTTATCTCAATATGAGATGTCTAATACAAAGTTATCTGTAAGGATCTAACAGTAGATATCTGTCTGATTCATACTCCATGATAGCATGTGGGAAAAGTTACAGAAATGTCTTATGATGTTGAAGAAATTGTTTTTAAAATCTGTTAATTGAAGACTTAATATCTCACCAAGTTGTTAAAATGTAAATTTGATTCACGAAAGATGATATGATATTTTCTTTCTTTTGTAAGATATATATAGCTATTCTACTCACATGCCTAAAAACTAATGTGGCATTCTAATTTCCTGATACTTCATAACAAAGACCATCAAAACATGATATATTGACCAATATTTCAGGTAGATGTCAATACATAAACCTGGTTCAAGGATTACTACAAACAAGAGGCCCAATGAGCCTGCATCACTAACCTCGTATTCAATGTTCATTAAAATTTTCATTTTTTTTTCATTTTCATTAAAAAATAGAATCTGTGTTTACATCACAAATATTTTGACATTTACACCATTGACATTCAAAGTGGCCACATCTAATCAATTTTAACTAATCTCCACAACAAACAGCTTTTAATACTCCTCTCTAATAAATGACAGTTGTGGCCTGGATGTTTAGTATATGCCATTTCTTGTAATTTTTCTTGAATTTCCTTGGTTTTGACCTAGAAACACCTTTCCATCAAATAAACTGCTTCTCCTACTTTTGATTTACCAGAAGAAGTCATTCATAGGTTTCATAAATCCCTGTGACCTTCAATTTGGGTCAAGATCATTTCTTTTCACAAGCATTGTCAGTTATAATCCCAGGAGCCTAAATGCCAAATACCATGCTTATGCACATTTTGGTTAGTCAGAAGAAATTCTTTCAAGGTTTTAACAAATACTACCCCTGTGATCTTGAATAAGATAAAAGTAATTTCCTTTCCTTAACTTTGTTGGGCTTCATCCAAGGTATCTACCTGTGAAATACCATGCTTCTTCACCTTTTGGTTAGTCAGAAGAAGTCATTTAAAAGTTTTAACATATTCGACCCCTGTGACCTTGAATAAGGGTCAAGGTCATTTCTTTTGGAAAACTTTGTCCGATGTATTCCTTGAAACCTATCAGCCACTTCTGTGCCTTTTGGTTAGTCAGAAGATGTTGTTTTAACAAATCTGACCCCAGTGAACTTGAAAATGGGTCATTTTCTTTACACAAACATTGTTGGGCTTTATTCCAGCAATCAACCAGCCTGCTGGTTATTGAGAAAAGCCATTTAAATGAAAAATTGACATCTTTGGACCAGATGATTTGAAAAATGTAAAGGGAAAAAAGTTACAAGAAAATGTGATATTAACAAGAATGTGACAAGAACAGATATGACATTAAGTGATGAAGACATTACCTAATGATGTACAGACTATAACAATGGTTAGGAAATAATGAAAAGAAATTTTGATGAAGGTGGTCCGTGTCTTCAAGCACACACTTTAAAGAATAGGAAGTTTTGTTCATCATTCATGCCAGTGATTAATATTTCTAATTTGGCAGACATTTTCCTTAATGTATGAGAGCTGATGAAAATGTCCATTTTGGCAACAGTTATTAAACAACGCCCAGGAATAAGCACATCGTATAACATGCTCAGTGTTAATAGCAAATTTTTAATACATGAACTGGATTTGATCCCCTGAGAGCTTGGAAATATATGCGGTAAAATGTTGCCAGCTGTTTGGTTTAGAGCCATTGCTTTGTCAGTTTCCAAATTTCTGCAAAATGTCACAAGAAACAGCACAGTGATAATACAATCAGTGTTCAGAATGACTTTTAACATTGCGATTGTGATTATGATCTTTATGTGATTTTCCAAGAAACCAGTATTTTGTTAACGCAAGATTTCATGGATTAATAACAAGAAATCCCTAAGTTTAAACAACAGATCTTGGTTCCCACCATTGTTTTCTCTTTATTTTTATCTTCTTTCCTGTTTTTCCTCTTCATTATAGGAAATCTGAAAATTTCTCTTAACAAATAGCAACTAGAATTGTTACTCAGAGGATAACTAATACCCCCTACAGATGTGAAGACCTCTATATACCAAATTTGGCCAAAACTTCCTCAAAAAAGTCAAAACAGTTCAAAACAAGAGACCCCACCCTAATTGACTAATGACCATTCTTTAGGTGATGGATCTTAAAAAGGTACAATGCACAACTAGGGTCCAAGGGAGATCAGTAAAGTAGTCAAGACATAGCTATAGCATAACTGTAAGACATTTTGTGGCAATTTAACAAAATGCAAAAGTGCACAACTACATATCATAGGGATGTAATATTCAAATTTTAAAAAGAATTGCTTTAATAGTTTACCAGATACAGTTGACACAATTTCTTAAATAAGGGGCATAACTCTACCAGATGAAATTGATTGCACAACAATATAAATTGGATAAAAAGTGATTGCAATTGACACATTGTTCCAAACAGAATATCTACAAAAAATTGCTTCAGCACCCACCCAGACATCATAGGGGTGACTGCAGCAAAGAGATGACATTAACAAACATCAAGTTTAACCATCTTGTTGTTTCGATTAGTCCACAAAACTGCCTGTATATAGGGGAGACCTAGATATGAAATTTGTTATCAGTCCACAAAACTGCCTATATA